GCTGATTTAAGTCAGGGCATGGCTAACTCACAGATTGAACCCTGAAACAACCTCTGGGCTGATCTAAGTCAGGGCACGGCTAATTCACAGATCGAACCCTGAAACAACCTCTTGGCTGATCTAAGTCAGGGCATGGCTAACTCACAGATGAAATTGGAATTTAGCTAAATTTTCGCAGAGGGAGGAAAACCAGAGGTCCTGGAGAAAAACTCGTGAATCAAAGGGTAAGGCCTAAAAAAGTCTGTCCCCAGAGGTGAGAGGCGAGTGATCTACTGCTACATCACCTCACATTTGACTTATTTTATTTATAAAAAAAGTTTTTATAAAAGACAATTTTTTTAGAGAATTTTTTTAAAATATTAGAAATCAATATTTAAGAATTTTTGTAGATTTTCGCCAAAAGGGTTAATTTATCTTGAGAGGAAGAAAAATTAGTTTCAAGTTTAGTGACATTTTAGCACAAAATCCCTAGAAAGAGTAGATTAGAACTAGGATTCTTCTCTGGCTTAATTTTTAACCCAAGACAACACAGTCTAGTGCAATATTTTTTCTTAACAAGCTTAGGCTTAACACAGAATAGAATAGTCAATGTGCAGTGTAAAGGAGAGAATTAGTCAAAAGAAAAAGCAATGTGTATGAGAAGTGGTAGTGTATACCCGTGAAAAGACTTAGGAAGTGAGACCATAGATTAGAAGTGGAAAGGAAGAATCTCTTGCGTGACTGTCACAAAATAAGCACCAAAAATCTATTTGCAATGATAAATACATTTAGAATACTAGTCTAAGTATTGTACACCCTTGGAAATYGAAAAATCCATCAAATCTAAAGAGCTTTAAGGAGTATCCGGCTTCATTCCAATTCTTCAAATTTTATTAAACCTGAAACAACCTCTGGGAAGATCTACCTATGCCTGTTTTCATTTATGAATCTTTTCGATAACATGGAACGTCTTGGTCGATCTAAATCAAGGCATGGTTAACTCACAGATCAAACCCTGAAACAACCTCTTGGCTGATCTAAGTCAGGGCAYGGCTAACTCACAGATTGAACCCTGAAACAACCTCTGGGCTGATCTAAGTCAGGGAACGGCTAACTGACAGATCCAACCCTGAAACAACCTCTAGGCTGATCAAAGTCAGGGCATGGCTAACTCACAGATAGAACTCTGAAACAACCTCTAGGCTGATCTAAGTCAGGGCATGGCTAACTCACAGGTCAAACCCTGAAACAACCTCTGGGCTGATCTAAGTCAGGGCACAGCTAACTCATAAATCGAATTGGAATTAGCTTGATAGGCTTTGTAGGAATAAGCTGAAAAACCTGGAGAAAAACCCTCCAATCAAGGGAGAGACCTAAAAAAACTCTACTCATATTCATATGATGCTGAAAYCAGAAATCAAAGCCAAGACTTCAGAGACTACTACTACACCAACCCTTGATTCATCTAATTTAACATGTGAGTATAGTGTCGTAAATAATGAACCTAGTGGAATAAGCCCATTCAGGAAGTGATTGTAGATTCCCCTCCCTTCTGTACTAAACAGGAAGAATATAACCCCCCCCCCTCCCCCACTTTTCCAAAGACCTGACGACAGGCCTCATTTGATTATTTTGTAATAAACTAGTATATAAAAAAGAAATTTGATGCAATGGTGCTACAAGTGACAGTCACAAAAAAGACATCCCCGGTGCTAAGGAGAGACAGAACAGCCACAGAAGAGTGGTATGATGATGCATGAGAGTGGAAGGAAGGGTCTCTAGCAGAGTGACAACACTGCTACRTACATCAGTCCTGCGATATCTATGTCAGTACTGTCATTGTTAAAGTTTGGATCTTTATGACCTGCAGTAGAGCTAGTATTACTAAAGAAAACAAAAAAGAAATCAACACATGGCAAGAAAATGACATGGGATAAAGGTTAAACTGAATAAAACTGAAAATAAAACCAATGTTACATCACAGATTACATTATTAAGCCCTAATGGTAATAGCTTAAATGACAACTTCAAGTTCAACAAACCAAAAGGGAGATTGCAAATAGTGTTAGGGGCAGGGGGAGATTAAAAAAATAGTATCACTAAGGGAATTCTAAAAAATGGTGTCACAACAGCAAGAATATATTAAACTAAATCTGTCATGTAGGAGAACTCSATGGAGAGTTCCACTTCTGACACCCAGATGGCTCAGATGTTGAACTGATACAAATACATCAGAAAAGCCTTCTTTAATAAGATGGCACAGTATACTTATTTCAATAAAGTTAGTCACCTAGAAAGCTACTAAGCTGAGACCGAAAAAGATTATGGCTAGATACATTTCACATGTCTTAAATTGCTTGATAAATGCCGACAGACTTTTGCCAGTTACAGCTTTACCCCTCTGTGAGCATCCTCAAGCTAAGTTCCTATCAAAAGCTTTAACTTGTAGGATATGAAATAYATTACATGATAATCAGCRGTTACAGCTTYGTAGGTTTTTGATGACTATAAACTTTATTGAAATACGTATATTATACCTGATGAGTTGACCTTCAAAACCAACCCTAGGTCAGCCAATCAGAATTGAGGATTTGATATCACATTTTGATTAGCATTCTTTATGATTCTGCCAATAGAACCCATGAAATATGAACTAATAATTCTTTAAACTGTTCGTAAATGCTGTAGTCGAACTAATAGTGGAGTTCCATTTCAATTGACAAGAGCAATCTATATAGACTCTTCCACAGTCTCTCACCCGTCTGTTCCGTCTCCACTTGGACCCGGAGTGCTTTGGGAACCAAAATATGTAYTCATCCACAGTCTYTCTCATTTCAATATTTTCAAGATGGCGGCAAAAACGAGAGAGACTGTGGAAGAGTATTTTGATTCCCAAAGCATGCCGGGTCCAAGTTTTCGAGACCCATAAGTCCTTTCAGTCATTGTACCATTACAGTCTACAATCTACATTGTACTCAGTCCCTGTTAGAAAAATGCTAATCAAAAATAGCTGACCAATAATTTCTTTCTAGGAATGCTGTCAACTCATCTGGTACAGCACATGGAAAATCTAATGTCTTGCACAGACCGACTCCCAGCTCTAGAGGCTTAAATACATAACTCATTAAAGCTATAATTATCTTAAATTTCGACAAATTATTCATGCAACTTATAAAACCTGTACTTGGCATGAAATTAGCATGAATAGTCATGTAGTAAAGGAATATTAATCTGAGACTAGTAGATTATAAAATGTAGTGAAAATGGGATCGTGKGGCTACAGTATATGAGAGAATTATGTTGAAAGACACTTGCTTCCTCTGATTGAATCATGTTTTTTTAATACAACCAAGCTTCAGCCATCTTGGACATCATCAGGGTTATAATAACAGTTAATAATAATAATAATGAAATAAAAATATAGTAAAAAGCATGGTTGTATTACTGCGATTATAGATATTCTGTGAATTTAGACATTCCAATGCCTTGTTGTAAAATCAGTTTTTTACTGCTGTGAATATAATTATATATAATTAAAAAACACTATGTAACACAAATAAAGCAAGGTTCTTTAGATTGATATGCCTGCGTACAACATGGTATTGGACTGAGAATTATGTTACTGGTCTTTACGAGTCTATCAGGATAATAATATAATTTATTGTTAGGTAGCTCACTTACCTTCTTTTTAATGGAGGAGGTGCATTACTCTCCAAATTACTTTTTATTAAAGGTGCATTCTGTAATCAAAATAATATTTCAGTAATTGAGGAATATTTAGGTCAAAACTGACCTTCATGAATTTGCTTGATTCATCACCAAACAATGGCTCTAAGCTGACTTGACTGACTTGGTAAAATACAATGAATGTATGTGAATGCATGTGGATGTAAAATGCTACGTCTAAAATCCATGCACCCAGTTGCCATGTCCAGCCRTTGTGCAGCTGTTGTCACTATTCCTGGACAGCAGCTCAAACATCCAAGTTTTCACTGCATTATTTTTATTTAACTGTAAATATCTGGCAGTATGAAAAGATGGATGTTTTATTTAATAGTTCTTGGTTATGTAGCATGGCTTACAATAAAGACACTCGAACCATGAACACTTGACTTTATTCAGATTTTTATTTTCTGAGCTTTTTACTGCTTCAAATCCTCTAAAAAAGTAGGATTGAACTTAAATATGCTATGTGATCAAAAACAACTTATTTCTAAATGATTTGCTCAAAGGATGCATGTTAAAAAAGTAGTAAAAAAGCACAAAGTGTTCATGGTTAGAGTGTCCTTACTGTAAAATAACGGCCAGACATCRGACAATATCCGGCCAGAACTGGGACTTGTCCTGTCAAATATTTGCCTTACCAGTCATTTTGACCATTAACRTTTAGCCAGAAAHGAGGTATAACTAAGCTAAAAATAATTTGGCCTGTGATGATGACTAGYGACTGATYGGCTGTTATTTTCAGTCCTGTGTAGATGCAAAGAGTAAAAAGAGCCATGTATACTTACAGCTTTGATTTTAATAGTATCATTTTGTCTTTTCTTAAGCTGCTCTAGAATTTTTACCATATCTGGTTCAGCTAAATCTATAGGGGTTTGACCCTGAAAAGACAAGAACAAACAGTAAGTAAATATTTCATTGTACTACCAAAACTTTTGCTTTGTCCTCCAAATTGAGCTGCTTTGATTTCAAAAGGGGTCTATAGCAGCAGCAGTAGCAAGGACAGCTGTAACACTGGCATCAACAGCAATGACAACAGCAATARCAGACACAACAGTAGCAGCAGCGGCAACTATACTACCAATATATATAGTGATGACAACAGCAATAATAGCAACAGCAGCTGCAGGAAGGRCAATTATATCACCAGCATTAACAGCTGCAATGACGACAGCAAAACCAACGACAGCACTCGCAACTGTACTTATGCTAACATCAACAGTAATGACAACARCAACAGTAACAGTACAACTGCAACTACAGCAACCTCATGGATAACTGTAAATCGAACATCAACAGCAATCACAATGTAATGACAACAGCAACAGCAATAACAGCATTAACGACAACAGCAACAACAACAGTTGTAAGARCGTGAGTTCAACAAGTCAAAAAAACATTTTTAAATAACAGAAGCAGAGGCAAGTACAACTGTAACACCAGCATCAACAGCAATGACAAATACARCAACAGCAATGACAGTAACGACTGTTATACTTACCACTTTGTTCCTAGCAGTAAAATCAGCACCATTATCAGCTAACACCTCACAGGCTTCTGTCTGACCCCAGTGAGCTGCCGCATGTAAAGGTGTCCAACCATCAGAATCTTTTGCATTCACGTCTACATTTAGYTGAAGCAGCAAACTGCAATGCAAGCATCATGCAAACCAGTGAGTTCAGACTAGCAGCACAACTATTGAACCCTGTAACAACCTCTGGGCTGACAAAAGTCAGGGAATGACTAACTCACAGATCAAACCCTGAAGCAACCTGTGAGTTGTTGTAATTTGGACACTGACTTAACAATTGTTTCAAGGGGTTTTCTCTGTTGTTTTTTTAAAATGGGTTTTCCTTCTTCCACAAAAAATCAACTTCAAATTCCTGATTAGAATCGAGTTGAAGAAAAGCTATAGAGGTCTTGCACCATCATGTGACGGCAACCATGTTAGATGGCAGGAACAATACAATTGTCTCACATGAGAAAGAATTCAATCCCCAAGGACAAAGGGATTTTATTGTTCTGCCATCTAACCACAGGCAGCCCAAGCTGGATTATTGCGCCAGCACGTGATGGTGCAAAACCTCTATTCTGTGGAACCACTGTTAATTTCCATTTTTTTTTAAATATTTATTTATCATTTTATAACCTTTATATACTTACGCTATAACTTTAAGGTATCCTTTAGAAGCTGCTACATGTAGCGCTGTTGCTCCTAAAATGAAACAAGCCATTGGAAACAATGAATGGAAGAAGGAATGATGGACGAGTAGATAAATGAATGAATAAATACATGTACTAAATGGTGCTGTAAATAATTGCTAGWAAAACTACTACGCCTCTTTCACTAGTGAGTCATGAATACAACATATATATGTACACTCACTACTGATATCTGCTATCACGTATGAGGATAAATGGATTTAAATCATAAAATATGAAATGGAGCTGGCATTTATTGCTTAACCAAGCTTAACTTAAGTGTCGATGAAGGCTCATCAATTTTTTTGAGTGGCTCTTTAAACTTAATCTACAAGATACTTCAATGAGATCACATAAGGTCAAAGTATTAATATAACTACAATTCTAATCATCAACACTTGAAACATTATTTATACTAAAACAAATGTTTTCCTATTTCATACATGTACATGTAAATACAGTACATTGAGTACATACATACCTGATCTATCTTCGACTTCATTTATAGAATTCTTATTTAACCAAGTTTGTGCATCTTCAAGCATTAATTTTTCTTCTACATTTCGAGCTTCTTCAGCATCAATTCCTAAAAATAAAGATACAATACATGTATACTGACAAATAATAGATACATACGAACCATACATTAAACAACTATACCAATGTTATTCCATATCACCATTCTTGGGGTAAAACCACAYGACTCAAAATCCCTCAAGATATAAATGACAATGAAACAGCCACCATGTTGGTTGTTCAAAGGAGAGAAGTTAATGAGGAATGCTTGGTTATTGTCAACCAACATTGCGGCTATGATGTAACATGCAGCCCAGTAATTTAATTACAGGAAGTATATTCTGTACTTCTTTAAATTTCATATTTTGTATGTGCATTTGGAATTTCCTACATTCTGCAATATTTAACAGAGAATGAAAGAAGCGGGTTTATTTGTTTCATAAATAGACATTTTTTTGCAGTTTTCAATGTTATTTGCTAAGCATGTTGCACGCTACCCTGCTCGCAGAAGTCTTTTTCTGGTTTAGGTCTTTGGACCCTGACCAGTCTGCTGCTCAGCCCAAAAAGGGGAAGATAAGTAACCTCTGCTTGCAGGGTAGCTATGCGCACATACATGGTATGAGCAACAGGCTCTGTTTACTAATACAGCACAGCTATTAAACCAAACAGAGCATGCATAGCAAGGTAATTATATGGTAAAAAATAGAGTGAATCTATGAACCCCTTGCATGTGACATCAAAGCAGCTCAATTTGGAGGACAAAACAAAAGAATCTCAAGAGAATTGGAAACCTTTTGTTATGTCCTCCAAATTGAGCTGCATTCCGACATTCTGCAAGGGGTCTATTAATCAGCTACCCTGAGGGAACAGCAAAGTAGCCACTGGCCAATGGCTGCTTAACAGAGGTATGAAACAGTGCAAAAACATACTTCTATAGTTATCGTAAGCACACCATTTAGCACAATGCAGTGCATTCAATTCAATTCAATTTCAGTTTATTTACACTGTTTTTTTCAATTTTATATAATAGAATTACAAGAGTATATRTAGTTGAATAAAATTTAGAATTTTTAATATAATTAACAATAATAGGTGTAAGTGTAYGACAGCCAAAGGAGCTAAAGCTTTCTAGTTGGCTGTCGTAATTTTCATTTAGGTTCAAAAAAGAAGAAAGAAAAAAAAGGAAGAAAAAATTAATGATTTGTTGGCAACTCTTATTATCTTACTTACCTAGACGTTCTATTTCATCAGTGAGTAAATCTTCCATATCCTCCTCCTCAGCAAGATCCAAGGGGAGTTCCCCCTCATTATTGACAGATGCAACATCTGTTCCTTTTTGTATAAGATATCTGTAAGAAATAAAAAATGTTGTAAGTCAAAAAATATTTTACTTTCTTTTTCGTCATTTTATCTCCTTGGATAGCTTTTATAGAATTTCAATAAATGTATATCAGTTCATAATTTGATTGGTTGACAAATTTTAGTGTTCATGGTTAGAGTAAGACAACAGTAAGTCTTAACTTCATCTGAGTGCGACTGGGACCCAGATAAAAATGGTGGGAGGGTACTTCATATATTAAACTTCTTAAGTGTTTCTTCAATAAGGATACTCATTACATTAAATACATGTAGTACCCACCTTACCATTAAAAACAATTGGAAATTTAGACAAATTAATTTACACATTTTTTTTCAAAAAAAGTTGGYGAAAGTTTTGTTACATGTTGCATAGATGTAACAAGCAAGAAATGTATTGTGGATCAYATGTAAATACAGTCAACACAGAAAAAAATATGCTAGAAAAACATGCAGACAAGGTTTTGGAAAATTTCATATCGCTGTGACCTTGTGCTGATTGTATTCACTATGCCCATATGGGCTTGGTATGAAACATGCAACAAAACCGTTACCATTTTTTAAAATAAATGTACAAAGTGTCCAGTCAAAATTGTACATACAACACACACATACAAAAATAGACCTATATAGATTGTTATAAACTGTAATGCATATATAGAGTGGTTATTCATAAACCAGTGAAATACACTTCAGTTTACTATACTACTATTAAGAAGATATAACTAGCTAAAAACTAGTGTGAGCTGCGTCGGTGTTTCTAATGAAACAGTAATGATGAAAAGGTAAATTATACACCGTGAAAAGATGAAAAAACTTACTGACGTTTCGGACGCTAGTCCTTCGTCGGAGTAAAAGAGCTATTAGAAAACTCATTAATAATTCATGAAGGAAACACAACTTGTGACTACCGAGTTTGCAGAATATGGAAAACTACAGTATCTTTGACTATAATATATACTTGTTCAGTCTAGCAAATTAATTTTATTAATTTACAACAACAACAAAATAAATATCTTCGATCTTAAACCTGAAAAACCACCTCTGAGCTGATTACACACATACACACACACACACACACATACAGGTACATAAACTTTATTTTTATTTACACCRACGCAGCTCACACAAGTTTTTAGCTATTTATCTCTCCTTTTTATTTAATGTGTTTATTGGTAAAGAATTGTTTCGATAATGAAATGAATTAAATAATACAAGTAAAAACAGTCCTCGGTATTGAGGAATATACATCAATCATCCCAAGAGATCTGTGATATAAATATAGCTTTGGGAGTCAGGGGCTTCTCACCTCTGGGGTCACAAGCTCAAATCATGGACTTGAAATCATATGTGAAAATAGYTTATTAGATCTCTCCCTTGATTTGAAGGTTTTTTCCTCTGATTTTTCATGTTTTCCTCCCTCTACAAAACCTAACAAGCTAAATTCCAATTTTCTCTGCAAGTTATAATTGGCTGTGCTGGTGACRTTGTTTATTGTTTCTGAGTAGAATTGATAAAATAACTTTTGGAACAGCTTAATTCTAAGCATTATAGCATTATGAATAGAAACTAAATAGATACTTGGCATTAAGATTATTTTTTTGTCCAAGGTAAATTCCAGAAATGTGACACAAACAAAAATTTCAGTGACAATAGAAATTTTATTTTGAAATATTGTACTTTTTTGAAGTAAAATCCATAATTTTATTTTGCCAAAATGGTAAAAACAAAAATTCAATGTATGCTATTTTGAATAAGTGTTATCCAATGATGTGTTGCCAAATTCTATAATACCAATTTRGTGCCAATAACATCAACAGATTTAATTTGTTAGAACAACAACAGTGTACAAATAGAATCATTATTCTTCAAAAAAATGCTACGTTATTATTGAATTTTAATATTTTATCAGAAGATGATAGCAGTCAAAAGCAGTCTTCCACAAAAACATTTTATCAATTATTTTTTTCACTCTCTACTTCAARATAAATACTAAAATTTAAATTAAAACTCAACATTCTAAAACAGGTTTTATAAGTACATATTTGAATCTATTTGATGTACACATGTACAGCATCTATACTGTTTGTCACCTTGAGATAGAAACTATATTATATTAACTAAAATGAGGGCCTTGTCTCAAAAATAATAACAAAATATAATTAAAAAAAGAAAATATTTAAAAATCAAAAGCTAGAGGAAACACACTGTTAGATGAAAATATTGGCAACCATTTTAATGACATTAAAACAAGGACAGGGGTCATCATAGTCATGTTTGTTAAAACCTTTAATGTTATTGAACTCTGAAACAACCTCTGGGCTGATCTACGTCAGGGTATGGCTAACTCACAGATTGAACCCTGAAGCAACCTCTGGGCTGATCTAAGTCAGGATATGGCTAACTCACAGATCAAACCCTGAAGCAACCCCTGGGCTGATCTAAGTCAGGGCATGGCTAACTCACAGATTGAACCCTGAAACAACCTCTGGGCTGATCAAAGTCAAGGCAGGGCTAACTCACAGATTGAACCCTGAAACAACCTCTGGGCTGATCAAAGTCAGGGCATGGCTAACTCACAGATTGAACCCTGAAACAACCTCTGTGCTGATCAAAGTCAAGGCACTGCTAACTCAATGATTGAATTGAAAATTAGGTTTTGTAGAGGTAGGAAAACCAGAAAACCAGAGAAACACCCATGAATTAAGGAACAGACCTAACAAACTCTACTCACAATTGATGCTGAGTCCAGGTATGAAAGGTAACAATAACANGAACCCTGAAACAACCTCTGGGCTGATCAAAGTCAAGGCACTGCTAACTCAATGATTGAATTGGAAATTAGGTTTTGTAGAGGGAGGAAAACTAGAAAACCAGAGAAACACCCATGAATTAAGGAACAGACCTAACAAACTCTACTCACAATTGATGCTGAGTCCAGGTATGAAAGGTAAYAATAACAACAAGTTATGATGTGCTATATGTCTACCTAGCTTTAGCATGTCTTGAATATTGCTAAATTTACTGTATATAAAATGGGAGGCCACTGATTTTTAACATGTAGAATAATCAATAAACTAATACTTAATGAAATTATATCAAATCTATACCATGATTTTCTGAGGTATGAATTTTTCGTTGGAAAAAGGAGACCAATATATGAAGAAACTAAAACAGACTTCAGACAAAATTAATCAAAATTTACGATCTTTTTTGAGTGGCGTTGAATAAATGTTAAAACAAATGTCTGATATTTTGAGCTAACAATATCGACCAATCATGTTCAATCTCAGGGTTATTAAAAGGTATGACCTAAGGCCACATTTCCAGGAACATTTTATGGTAAATGTTAATAGTATGACATTTAAGAAAAGTTTGTATACATGATTATATACTTATAGTAAGTTCAGTGTATAGAAAATTGAAATGAGTAGCACAATAAATTGAATTTGAATTTTTTAAGCATTATAAGCACTAAAGTATCAAAACATATCGGAGTTTCAGAGTTTAATGACAGGCTGAAACCTACATCTGGATGTAGGAAATAAAGTAACAACATATAAAAGCAGTGTGCTTTAAAGTATCCAATATAGTGACTGATGTACTGGCTGCCAATGCTACAATTCATCTTTTAGCAAGAATTAAGATTTTGGCGGACATCACACGGGGTGGAAACAAAAATGGAAAAACAAGAGAAAACATAATTTAGGAGAGAAAAAATATAATTGCTAAAGATTGAGAGTGGAAATTTTTTTGGAATAATATTCGAGGATGAAAATACACGGAAAACAAATAAAACGCCGGTAAATAGGGCAAAGTTTTAAAGGAATTATTCATGTTTTGAACAACAAAATAAGAAATATGTCAGGATTTAATAAAAAGATTTCATGGAATCCAACTTCACCCTTAAATATCTCAAAATATCTAGGCGATCCCGCTTCAAGAGCTTTTATAAACAAASCGATCTACAAGAAGACCTTGGATGACTACAGAACGAATGACTTGGGGTAGTTGGTTTGGAGATTCAGTCAACAATATACATGAACAATTTAGATTCAAACTAAAAATAATTAGTAATAGCGAGTTGTTGAAAAGATTTGCTATAGTTTGGAGATATTCTTGGGCTATTATGGCTGGAATATTATGGGTTTTGAAAGCACAGAATTGACAGAAATCGTCTCCTCATATCAAGATCACAGAGAACCCTTCCAAGACCCATCGATTACAAACTGTATGTCAACAATTTAATGTTTCTGAGAGAATTTTAGACTCTTAAAGCGCTAATGGCGGCCTATAAGTTATTGTACTTAACAGATTCTTGTAGGATATCTAGCAGTCAGTGCTGTAGTGTTAAAATTAAGGCCTAGAATTGCTGAGGAATACATCGTTGGAAATGAGCCTGCTAACTACAAGGTCATTTGATATCTGATTGTTAGCATAGTCCATAAGCTAAGCTTTACAAACGCTAAGACCACAAAACTAAATTCTGCATACAATAATAGCCGTTATATGGAGTATATATGAAAGGATCAGAGAATAAATAAAGACATCTGAGGAATATTGTCAGTATTTTACGTATGATGACTGAGTTGAATCTAGCCAACATTTCTTCACGAGTTCCACAAATGTTTGAGCAATGCTTGGCCAATAACTCTTATTTATGCAGCCTTATGGAGCTTATAGGACCATAAGTTAGGGATCTTTAGTGGTTTTATATATGAAATACCATATGTAGGACTGATGTTTAGATATCTAGATGTATTTGGGGACTTATCGATAAACTTACTTTGCTATTTCGACGCTACCACAGCTCGCCGCTGCATGTAAAGGGGTCCAACCTTCGTTATCACGGATATCCAAACGAGCTCCAGCATCAACGAGAAGTTTAACCAGTTCAAAACTTTCATCAATGCAGGCCTAGAAATACATACAAATAAGTAAAGCACTTAGTATTTCACAGGTGCGAATACAAACAAGGTGTAAACTCATTTAGTTCATAAAGTTGTACGTTTTCAGTTGTACGTTTACAAAATTTCACACGAATTAYGCAGAATGAAGGATTGTATAAATTCAGATGACCAAAATAATAAAATAACTGGTTTCGATTGCTTTTCGTTGAACATAGAGCAACTGCAGCTAGTTCGATATGTATTATATTGGAGAATAGGATATATGGAGACCATATTTTGACCGTATATGAGGTAAGATTGGTTGCAAAAGCGAATGAACCAACAGACATTTTTCAAGTCTCTAATGTGTGTTTCTAAGATGGAGGTTTATTTGTCTTCAAAAGCTACCAAAGACTCCACATGAACGAAACTGCTTTGATCAGGATAATATGACACTCTTTCTATTACTCCAAATTTGGTCCCAAAGCCAAGTTGTAAGAGACAGAAGACAGTTAAAAATAAAAGTTGAAGAAGGCACGTAGATGTTGGTCTCTGGTCGAAGGACGAAGGTTTTGATAATTAGCCTATTGTTTAAACCTATGCGAAGAGCTGACTATATCTTTAGAATAATCCCATATATCAAGGATTCCCTCCAGCACAGACTCTATCTCATTCTGGGCCATGACTCCATAAACCGTACCTGATGTAAAGCTGTAAGACCATCGACATTTTGGTAGTCTATGTCCGTCCCTTTTGCTAACAATTTCTTCACCTCGTCCACGTCGCCGCTCGAAACAGCCGAAATAAATACAGTTCCTGCATCAAACTTGATTTTATTCTTCTTCCTAGATCGGTCTACAGGCTGTCGATCAGTCTCGCTTCCTTTCCATCTTTTTAAGGATTCCTGGCGCTTCTGTAAGGCATTACCTGCTCTCGAGGTTTGGCCTCCGTCCGCCATCTTCCCATGACGTTACGGTTCAAGCTCAGCAGCCTGAGACTCGAGGCTAAACCACGTGACCCACGGGAGGCGCGCCTCCAACCAATCCACGCCAAGGGGAACGTAACTGTCAATAGGGACATGGTGGTGCTATGGAAACCGTGACGTCACGCCATCTCCTATACATATATATATATATATATTTGTTTGAGAAGAAAAAGTCAAGACAACATTTTCCCCGACAAGCCTGTTTCGTGAATTGCTTCACTCTTCAGGGGATTTAATGATAAGAATTCTGCTCTACTTCTATCGATGTATTGAGCACTATTTTACGGAAAATTGATTCACAGATTTCTTATATATATATATATATTCTACATATACACCATTATTTTTTAAATAATTATTTAAAAAACTACACTATATGTATCTCATTATTTATTAATAAAATTGATAAATTGAAAATTAATTAGCTATATTTTATCTTAGTATGTTTTTTCTCACCCTTCACGCCAAGAACTGAGATCGCAATAAATATAATTTTATAAATGAGAAAGTTATAGTTCAGAAACCCTTTAATATTATTTAAATGTGAACTGAATGCTCGAAGAAAGTTCCAACAAAAACGATGCTATTATATATAAATATATAATAACTAAATAAAATTATTTTTCATAGCTACTTAACATTCTGATATATTCCTAAATATATCTGTGACGTCAGAGTTTCAAAAACTTTGAAAAATGGATCCAGATTTGTTACTGGAAGCAGGGCCGTAACCAGGGGTTTTGCAGGATGGGTGCACAGGAACTGGAACTAAGAAAGAAACTATCTTTACTGTTTTGAGAAGTGGTGTAAAATTCCAAGGATTTGCAAAGCAAAAAAAAAAAAAAAAGCCAATCTAGAATTTGCAGAAGCAAAGAAATTCCAATAATGGGTGAGCGAATACTACAGTTTCCAGATGAAGAAATGGAAAAAAATAATGAATGATTCAGCGGATCGTCAGCTTTTACGGAGGGGGAGGGGGGAGGGTGTAMGTGAATTCAATTGGTTACGTCCCTGGGTAGGGAGGGGTAGGAACGAAAGTGCGTGGGATTGGAAATTTTTGGGTTGTTTTCAAGCCGGCTTAATGTGTGCTAAGTCAAGTTTTTATAATCATTAGCGCACTCCCTTAAAAGCTAGACGATGTCTTATATTACATTCATTATTCCGTTTTTTCCTCTGGATCAATAACGAATCTGGAATAAATTCATTTATATTCATGATAAGATTTATCGTAGTTTTTCAATTATCTAAAACTCTTTTTCAAATTTATATAAGTCCAAAGAGTGGATGTAAAGAAGTTGAATTTGACCGTCTTGAGCAGTTATCATGAGTGAAATGAAGTACAATGCCAAGTGTAATGATCATAAAGTAAGGTAAGATTTGTTTCATTTTTCACTTCCGTCACATAACGAAAGATTTGCATTTGATCATTTAATACGGGGTTCCTGTGGTGCGCGGTCATGATCTGGGCCAAATTCATCTCCAGTCGCACTCTGCTGCATATCTTTTTTCAGTAAAAATCAAATACAATGTGATTTATCTAGCAATTTGTCACTAATAGCCTTCACTGATGACCCAAATCTTGTACGCATTTAAGAATCTGTTAATACTTTATAGTAGCATTCAAAATCTTTTTGCTCCAGGCCTATCCGTATCGGTAATTTTTTTAGAAAACTTGTAACCTTTTAAGGCAAAAGCATGCACTGTAACCAAATAAGCTGCTTCTTGCCCGGTTTACGTGTTTGAGAAATTCTGACGTTACAACTTCAAAAGATTTAAACTTATTCACTTCCGGTGATACGCCGCAGTGAGAATCAGTGAAGGGTTCCCTTTCGTCATTAAACACGATGTCTTCACTTCAGGCTTACTTTGATGAAAAAAAAGCCATCATTTTCGTCCATCTTAATGCATATTAAAGAAATATTTTTTCCATAATTCCATAATTTTTTTTGCGTGCAAATTGAAAGCAATTAACCTGAAAATCTATTTTTAGGCTCGTTAAATCCTGTCTTTTTGATATTACCGACCGTCGTTGTAGTGATTTGATGCTTGCGCTTTTTCTTCTAAAATTCTGAATACCAAATTATCTTGCAGACTGCGATTTTTTTGAATCATCTGCAAATGTTTTTTTTTTTTTCCTGTAGAGAAATAGCGACAGGAGGCTTAAAAACCTTAAATGTCTTCAAAATCCAAAATCCTCATCGCTCAATTATCTTAATCTTTTATGAATTTAAAAAGCCTCGAAAAAACCCATCTTGTTTGGGTAAACAAAATTAAGAAATCTCCGATCGTGCAGGATAAATCAAAACCAAATTGAACTAGAGTGACAAGGATAAGCCACATAGTAGTCATAGTTGTACAAGGGCGTGGCATCACCCCATGTTGTCTTACAGTCACTGGTCCTTCACCGACCCTTGCCCATAAAAAGACATCATTTACTCACTTCTAAGAGCTAAAAATCCCTTTCTAAAAGTCTAAAGAAATCAAAGGTTGGTTTTGCGGGGTTGATGAGTGAAGTTAAACCCAGGATTCTAGAGACATCTGTAAGCATGGATCGACAGAGAGATTCAAGCTGACAGGCTTCCGTCAGATGTACATTTGCGTAAAACTGTAAAATTCACGTTAATCCCGAAAGCATATCAAATGTTGCTTAAAAGAGCCTCTGTTTAACGCATTTTCAATCTGCGCCTATCAAAAATCCTGCTAAAAAGAACCTCCAAATTGAACAGACCCTATTCGATCTTTCATATGCGCTGCATTGAGACTATAACACTAACATTCGTGGAGGTTCGATGACAGATTTCCCCATTCGACTTCTACTTTGCGACTGTGCGTCTCAAGTGGTTGACTTCAAGATTCGAAATTTTCCTTCGTTATTCTTGTCGTCCAAATGTCGAGGACTCACGCTACGAATACTAAATATAAAAAAGAAATATATTATTTAATATGCTTGAGTATAAAATGCGTAGACGTTTAGCTAAAGCCAGTAATATGCAACGAGAATAAAGATTATGTGCGAATGATCTCGAGATGTGCGATGAATTCCCTTGTGGTTTGAATGTGCGTCATTGCTTTATGTGTGCGCGGGCAGTTATCATCATTAAGGAATTCTTCGTTTGCACATGACGTCATAGCCGCCATCTTGGTTGAATTTAACAAAAAGAATTGTCAATTAATACTTTGGTTATACTATATAAACCAGCAATGAGGCCAAAACAGTTTTCATCTTACAGGACCTGACTTATAGGGGAGGGGTGGGGGTTACCCAGTACCCATCAATGCTGGATTTTAAACTGGGTTTTGTCATAAAACTTCTCCAAAGGTTAAAGTCAAAGCGCAAAAACTGTCTGTTTGCTTTCTTGCTCAACGTTTTTGCTTAAAGAAARAGTCATTTTTGACACCCGGTATCATCTTTTCAACGGCCTCTCTGAGGGGGCCACCACCTGAACCAATCAAATGGAGCTCCTATATTTTGAAATTGCTTCGACCTTGCATAAAGATTTCTCTAAGGCTRTGTGCACACTTGAAATCGATACGCGCAGGCAATCTAGCTCTTCTCTTTAACTCACTAGATTGTATCCTCAAAACGTGCGCAATAAAACAATATTGCGTGTTACACTTTCATCACAGAAATTTGAAGTAAACTCTGGAAAAAAATAAATAAATAAATAAAACAGGGCGTAGACTTCTCTCTTAACTTCCCCTCCCCCTGTGAAATTACAGATACCTACCTAGTCTTACACTGGTATGCACTCTATAGATAGAGGGCTACAAGTACCACGAACGTTCTTATCAAAAAATATAGTCTCGGTTTTTCTCAGTGTTAAATGGGCGATTTCTAATTTGTACCACTGGTTTGTGTCACTCMAGAGTCAAAGTTCTGCATCAATTTGCAGTCTGCAATTGTAGCAAATGAAAAGGGTTAAAACATTTCCATTTCCATTACTTGTTCACCATCATTGTGCAAGACTCTTGGTTACGCCTATGAATTGATGTCTTTTAAAGTTAATTTGCTATGGAAATATGAAGATTTCAGAATTTTAATTTTTGATCATTTAACTAGGACCATACTGCCAGACATCGAGTGCTTAACCGTGGAATGTCCTTTATATCTTCAAGAAGCCGCACCCGCACCCAAATTTCGGGTTATTCAACATCTTACCCCATGTAGAATAAATACTGTGAATWTTGTCAGCAGGGTGATAGGAACATTTAAACTTTACAGAAATTTGATCATCTGCCTTCCTTCTCAGATAGATAGATTGCTGATAACAAGTGAAATGAAGAGAATTAAGACATGGGGTTTGATTGGTCTCCTATCCCCTAGGCCTGTCTGCCATCTTTCTAGTTGGATTCCACACGGAGAGCCTTGTAAGGGGATCATTGAAAAATGCAACTTCCTCGYTTTGCATCTCATTTTTACTTGTCGGAATTCGAATAACTATCCAATACGGCAAAGAAAATCTTGTTTTGGAGTGAATATCGAACCGATAAAAAATAGGTCAAAAATCCTGTTTT